TATATATATATATATATATATATAGCAATCGCATCATGCGCAGGAGAACATGCAGAGACTCCTTAAAGAGTTACTCATGAGTAAAGTTTGACAAGGCCTAAAGATATATCAGAGCTTATCGAGAGTCACTCTTTTTTTTTTCTTTTTGCATTTCTATCTACACATAAACCAATAAGCCTCGTGTTTGTTCAATAATTATAATTATTTTGTAGCAGGGAAAATAAACACAGCTGTACTACTAATTTGAACTTGTGTTTTCTTTGAAATACACGCAGATTTTAATGATAAAGACCTGCAATATTGCACTGTTTGCACTTTCTCAATAACTCCTTCTTTTGACAGTTTTGGTCTGCAGCTCTTAAACATACACAGGCCTGGACTTAGGGCCCCATTCGTCACACTATAGGTTTTTTTTAAAGTGTTTTGTACGGGAGGGGGGTAAAGGGGGTCAGGGAGCTTTAACTCGGTGACAAAGCCTCATTTGCAGGTCAATGCGATGGCACACTCGCCTCTCCTCTCCATCCAGCTTGCCTTTGTTCCCTGTCGCCTGCGCCGATGCCAGATGGTCATGGAAAATGCTAATTCCCCCTGACTGATTTTCCTCCTTTCTATATTTAATTGCAGTCTTTGTAGACTGCCCCGTTAATTGTGTGTTTTGAGTGGAAAATGTGCTCTCTGGAATTATATTTTTGGTTGCTACATTGCTCGAAACCAATAAGATATAGGCCTACTAAAGAAGCACATAGATAGAAAACAATAGGGCAGGGCGTTTTAAACAAAACACCGACGCATTTTATAACATATAGTTCATAACAAAGTCACGAACGCGAAATTCTAACCCGTATGCCCACCAAACCTTCAATTTTATAAAACTTGACTTATCTTAATTAATCAAAAAACATCAAATAAGAGTCAGACTTACAACTTTCTTTTTGCCAACTTACATATTTTCATTGTCTAGTGTCACATTAAAGGACGAATAAAATGTATTCCTTTTTCGTTTGTTGGGGAGAGGTGTTTTTTTGAATCGTAATTGTAATATGGTAAATGACAGTAAGATCTACTTTTATTTCTTTAAAGATTTGAGAAAATGATGATAAGTCGTAATATAAATTGTAATGCTCAACATATAACAACATCGCAAGAAATGGCTATAGTATTTTTATTTTTTATTTTTTTGTGTAATGATCGAAAGTCTGCTATATCACATAATCACGTAGCTCATAGCTAATGTAAAAAGAAAGCTACATTTTTATCCGTGTATTGTGGGGCCTAAAGAAGCACATGCGTACTGTTTTGCTCGTGACTGAGGCAAATGTATCTGATGTGAGTTAAAGGTCAGACGGGAGAGTGTAGGGCCCTTGAGGCTGATTCTCTCCATCAGCAGCTGGCTGTTTAATGATATTCATGTTAATGGGGTCTGTATGTTCGCTGTCATCTCTTTCCTTTATGTCCATCATATCTGGGCTCAATTGAATGAAGTCATAACTGCCAAACAGCAATTTCTGTGAAGCTCAAACCTTAAAATATCCACTAACACAGTTTTAGGCGTTGACCTTGAAGCTGATGAATGAAAGGTGATATAATACAGCTTATTATTTATGTGTAGTCGGATAAAATTATTTTGATGTTCTATATATATACTCCAAATACAACTAATTATTACTTTAATAATTATTTCTGCTTAAACGGAAGTCTACCAGTTGATTTTCAGGCTTTAACCCGTGACCTCTCCCATAATGGATCCAGTTCAATAGCTATTTAAAAAGACGAATACGAATTTAAGTTCTATTTACTGCGACAAATTTTATATAGTTACACAGCTGCAGAGACAAATAAAGGAAGATGAGCCTTTTTAGCACGGTGGGGTATTGGAGCCCCCAGAATGTGTCCAGTCTCCAACATTGGGACTTCATTAAAGTAACACATAAACAGCTGTTGTCTTTAACATGTAAACTATTGAGAATTTAAAACTGCGGCTGAATGGCCCCCGCAGCTCCCCGTGGGCATATGGGCGTTAATTAGCTGGATATAGCCATAGATTAATTATAATATTTTTTCGCCCATTCGTATCAATAGACCAGGCAGACAAAGTGTCTTTTGTTCCGTGATGCAGGACATTCTGTGGCTGACTGAATAGGTCTTGGCTATGTCTACATGGATTTGCCATATGGCAACAAAAAAGAAAGAATGGAGCCGGAGAGCGCTTTGTGTTGGAAATCAGAACAAGCTCCGTCAGAGCTTATGGCTGCATGGAAATGACAAAGTCACTCTGGCCATCAAAAGTCTCCTTTTTTTTTTTTTTTTTTGTCAGAAACACTCGTGTCACGCAGTCAAAGCTGCTCAAACGAATGGAGAAACTTGTGGAAAATTATGAAATGTGGCTTTATTTACTTGTGAAAACAGCCCAAAGGGCCCGGAGCGCATTCACACAGACGCAGCATTTGGCTTCTTTCAATTAAGGGTAAACTTGCAAGTATGACCTGCTGAATGGTTTGTTTCAATAGACGAGGACAATTACAAAGACTAGTAGTTTTCTTTTTCCAGCTCTGGCAGGTGGCCTCCACGCCCGGTGTATCTACGCCGGGGTAAACAGTGTGTGTGCGTGTGTGTGTGTGAGAGAGAGAGTGGGTCTTTAGAGGGGCTTGTCGAGTGCGGGTGGATGTGGGGGTGTCTTCGTGGCAGACAAAGCGGGATCCAAAGGCAGCTGCTGCTTCTTTTAGGGAGCGAAAGGGCCTTTAAATCCTCGCCTTATATCCCGCAGCTGCCAAGCAGCATACGGCTGCGACTCAATGCGTTTTCCTCCCGCAAGAGTCTGCGTGAAGAGGACACACTTCCACCGGGGGGAAGGTGAAATCAGGTAGACATGTCTGTCACAACAGCATGTGTGTTCTTGTGTTCTTCGCAGGGTTTCTTGTGTAACTTTGCAACTGAGTGACCCAATCTCAGAGTGATCGAGGAGCACGACGCAGTTTCACAAGTAACCCGGCCGCTGATGATGGCAGCTTTGTGGCAACCACACAAAGACGTCATCTGCCTCCTATCTCTGTTTCAATTTCCCTTTTCTTGTTACTCTCATAACAAAACACACAAACAAATGTGTTTAAAATTAAAGTGTAAGAAAGAAATTTTTATTCACGTCATTCGCAAGACATAATTAGGTCACTTGTATAGAAAAATACACACAAAATGAAACCGGCTCAGAGATACAAAGAAAACTATTTTTTCAAGTGTGGGACTAATATGAGGAAGCTACATGATTGCGAAAGTTAAGAACAACAAACCAAAAAAAGAAACAACCCACAAAATTTCAAAAGAAAAATGTAAATAATAAAATTAAAATTACAAAATATGCCCTTTGGCTAAATCAACAAGGCATTTATCAAATATGAACGAACATAAATAAATTATAAGTTAGAATAGACTTAAAAAAATATACATTTTACCGAACAAAGGGAAAACAAATAATAATAAACACGCACGCATACACAAACGAGAACAGAAATAAACATTTATAAGGTATTGTCTCTATAAAGCTGTACACTTTTGGCCAGTGTAGACGATTCTTTTAAAGAATTTTTTTTATAATTGCACAGATGTTAAAACATTTAACACTGTCGAGTGGCTGTATGCAAAAGCAACAATGAAATGCTACATTTGTACTGGATAGAAGTCATTCGGAGAAATCTCCTCTCTCTTTCCTTTTCTCCTGCCCCCCCTCCCACCCCACCCCCAAACCGTTCAGAGTCCTGAGCCTGGTCAGGAGCTCGGATTGCGCTCCGCCGGGGCGCATCGAGCCACAGCCGACCGTTCGGACTTCTTTGTCCCCCCAACACCGTCCTCTTCTCTCTCTCCTGCGTTTCAGTTGCTTGAGTGGATGGGTCGGTCGACGGGGTGGTGGAGAAACAGTCTCCCGTGATCCTCAAAATGCGCAGGAAAATAGTGCAAAACGAACAAAAAACACCTGAGGAAGAAACATAACGCAATAAATTTTCTGAGAAAAGAAGAAGAGGAAAAAAAAAACCCTGCCATTCCTAAGAAAGACGGCGAGTCAGCTTTCTGAGGAAACCTGAGACTCGCATTCAGCAGAAGGCGTCACCCTTTGCCGGAGCCCTTTTTCCCGCCACATCGTGACGCACGAACACCCCTCCCTCCCCTCCCCCAACCGCTGGTGTTACTACATCAACTACTATCACTACTACTGCGATTTCACCACCGCAGTCTCGCCCCATCACCCCCCCCCACCACCACCACCGACACACACACACACACACACAGATAAGGCTGTCTGTGCCTTTTGGCTCACGTAATCCGCTGCAATAATTAAAACGTAAAAACCATAACAAACACACAAAGACACCCCCCCCCCCCAAAAAAAAAAAAAAAAAACCCCGAGGATACTATACATGAGAATCTGTTACTCTCTTTATAATAAAGCTTCATTGTCTCCTCCGAGTGTGTAAAAGAAAACAATTTTGATTCGTTTAGAAAATACCTTCAACGGATCCTCTTCCGCGGAGTTTGTTCCACCTGGATTGGAGACTTGGAGAGGAGACAGGCGGTCATGTCACTCGGTTTTATATCAGCAGGCCTCTTTCGTTTCACGTAGAAGTCTGACAAAAGAAACAACAATAGTGAAAAATGAATTTGGATTTATGAGCCGTTGTGAAATGATGCGCTGCGCACAGCGGGAGGATAGGAGGATGGTGTGGATGCTGGTCTAGGAGCCAATAGCAGGCTCGACTTTCAAAATACGAAAGCCGCTGAATTTACCTGTGATGTGTGTGTTGTTGTCAGGAGCGGCCGTTCTCTTGCGCCTGACACACGGGAGCTGCCTGGTGGTCGCTTTCCCTGAGTTGATCTTGTCTATGCGGTTCTCCTGGTTGATCTCCCCCGCGAAAGGAGAGCTGCTGCTCTCTGGCACGGCCAGGCGATCCAATGCGTCCGCACGAGGGCTCTCCGGGAGAGCAGAATCCGAGGGTGACTGCACGGGCACTCGGATTTTGCCGTCCTGCACAAAGTCCTGGTAAAACACCGGGGTCTTATCCGCAGTCACCGCCTCCCACTCGTAATCCCCTTCCAACGGGGTGTTGGCCTCGAAATTAAAGTTCCATCTCTGCTGGTCCCGTTCGGAGATCTCTCGCAATTTTTCTTTCATCTCCCGGTTCAGCTCGTCGTGATCCACCGGTCCGAAGAGGTTTCGACAGACTCCGGTGCGCCTCTGGAGAGGGAAGGTCTTCCTGGCCACCAGCCTCTCTAGCGTGGTTGATAATTGGACGTGGGACATCTCCAAAAACAAATTTCCCCTGGAAAAAAAAGAATCCAAAGTGATAGACTGATCCCTGCTGAGGTTGTATGTTGATAAATGTTGTTGTTGTTCAGCCCGAAGTGCGTTTGTATGTGTATCCTAATTCTTACGCTCGTGCCTATGCACGCCGCACCGTTCCGTTTAAATGTACAGCTTTCATAGTAAGTCTTTGGAGTATATAACCTCCTAACGGGCACCTTGATCGCTCTTCTCATTGGTTGCCTGGAAGTCCAGCCCTCTCCAAAACCCCCACCCTGATTTCCCATTTCCCGTTGTACCTATTGGCTTCGTGCCGACCAGAGCGCAGCGTTTTGATTTTTTCTCTCTCTGAGTGTCAACCCTCGGGAAAACGGAGCAGTTTTTTTTCTCGTGTCAGCAGGAATGTGTTTTACTTCGCATTTGTGTATCTGATTCTATTTTCGGACACCTTGGTTTTTGGTTTTGTCTTCCGTGTTTAATTGTAAATGCCTCCGACCAAGGGCGTAAAAACGCACCATCGCATTATTTTCATACTTCATATTTAGTGTTCAGCAGTTGAACAGCTTCAGTGTGTTATTCTTTAATATGTAAGGAAAGAAAAACAAATGCTGAAACCCGATCTAACCACTTAACTGATGTTTGACCCTGCCATGTCACCCGGCACATAAATCCACCCACTTTTCAATTTCTTCACGTTTTCGTTTATTTATTTTTTTGTCGCCGATCGCAATAACAGCGATTCCAGTCTGCGGGGATTTGCCCCACAGTGAGCAACTCTGTCTGCAGTACAGAAGCAACGTAAACATTAGTGAGACCTCAATAAACCACAATTTAAGCAGTTTCTTAAATGTCTTTTCTCATTTACTTAATAAAGCAAGGCAACTTTTCGAAATCAATTTTTCTTTTCTAAATGCGTTTTGTTGCATTTTTTTTTTTTACCTTAATATATAATATAGCAAATCGAGAATTTAAGCACCACGCCGTGTTATTTTTGGCAATTAAAAATGTACGTCTATCCACTCACAAAGGCATAAATCACGCAGGTCACAATCCGCCTGTTACCACTAATGTGTGCGGGATTGTTACTGGTAAATAGTCATTGTTACTTATGAATAACTTCAAAATATGTACAGTAGCATTTACTACAATACAGGATTTACGTTTTAAATATCATAGCAAGCTTTATTATAAGGGGAGACTCGGGGAGCTTATTCTCCGCCGAAGACAATGCACCATTTGGCAATTTTGAAGAAAATGATCCGGAACCACACCAAAATGTACTGAGTGCTTCAGCTGCCAGTGTTTCACCACACAAACGAGTTTCCCCAAATTCCGCTGTATTTATTTATTTATTTTTTATTTTATTTTATTTTTCTCGTGCATAGTCGTGCTGACAGTCAGGCACTGGAAGCACAACTTCCATACGTTTGACTTCAGGGTACCGGCTGTCTTAACAAGCAGGGAAACAGTCACGGGAGACGGGCAACGCCTTTTTGCAAGCAATGATGGGTGCATGGCGTCCCGTAGAGGTTCCAGTCTGATACTGCAGCTCAAACCTTAAACTAAACGCAACCATCATCCCCAGAAGAAAATAAAGGAGCAAGACTTACAGTGTATCACCTCCTAGTTTACACATGTGCACATAGATATTTTTTTAAGTGACACTGGCAACATATTCAGGGGAAAATCTCTATAAAATAATTTTATCCACATTCATCCTGAAAAGGGCGATGAATGCAAGCTTAAGGTCAAGAGGTTTACATGTGAGCGTCATCAAAGCAACATGAAGAAGACAGAGAGACACAGGGTCTGGCCATGTGTGCAGGCTTCCTAAAACACTTCCAGTAAAGGTCAAGTGGTCTCATGTGACAGCGACAGTAATATGTGACACATTTTTCCTGATTCGGGACTGTAAACTGAATCCATGAGGACTGAAACGATATTATAAGGGTGTAACGTTCATTAGAGGTTTTTTTTTAAATGATTTTGAAAATAATTAGCTTTCTTTTTACAAGAACAATTAATTGTCTATTAAGAAGAAGCATTTAAAGCACGCATGCTTGAACAATGCTCTTCAACAACAACAAAAAGATTTGTTTTTGAGTCTTTTAACCTTGAAGTGGCCATCCTGGTTAGATGAAATGTGATTTAGTGATTTTGTTTAATAAACATGCTGCATAGCACAAATTTGTCAGTCTACTCCTGAAAATTTTACAG